TCTTTGGTTGGGTGCTTCTGACTCCTTTCCTTTGTTCTTTATTTATTAAAAGAATATCTTATTTAAGAACACAGATAAAATTTCCTTTGGCTTTAAAAGCACCCTCCCTAGTTCTACTGCGTTTGTTCTGCGTGTTGCGGGATTTGTTGCTAAGAGTTGTGAGTTTGTGGAAGGCAGTGTTAGCAGGAGGACAGATCACACAGCAGTGGATGTAACCACTGGAAAACCGTGTTAAGAATCACGCCCAAGAGAGGGTCTGTGTGTGAGTCTCACTCAGCCGTCTGTAGCGATACCTTCACGTACTTAATATAGGATGTAACCCTTGCAACAATCTGGATCTATTGACCAAAAGTCATTACTCCTTTTATGTTCACAAATGCAAGTCGTGAAGTCTTATTTTCAAAGTTGAGCCTGCATTGTGTGTTAGATTGAGGACTCTTGACTGCTGTCCTGCTGCCAGGAACTGTTTTTCTGACATGACAGAGCCATGTGCTGATCACATGAACTCAAGATGTGAATCTTTTTGTTCAGATAAGTACACCCAGTAGATTAAAGTATAGAGTTTATTTCCAAATATTATACTTTCATGAGATCTAGCATCATGCAATACATGAGTTTTGTTCATTTTTTTTTTTTGTTACAAAATTCCTTCTCCCATAGTGAGCAATCTGGTCAGGGAAGGTGCCTCAAAGCATTAGAACCTTTGCCAAAAAGATCTCAGCATTTTTGTAGAATTCTCTCTCAGTTAAGCATAACAGGTAATAATGTACTGTAATGAATTTCTTTACTATGTTGTGATTTAAGATCTTGAAGTGGAAATTTTGATGATAGAGCAATTTTGGTAATGTCTGCAAAAAGCGCCACTTATTCTTCCACATGTGATGGTTATGGGTGTCACAGCCTTTCCACATAGAGCAATTTAGTTGGTTGCATAAAAACCAACTCTGGTTATGAAAACTTGTTTAAATGCTTGTCAGTGTTTTTCCTCACGCTTTTCAAAATAATTTTGATTTGTTCTTTTATTACTTTTAATCCCCAAGTGATGCTACAAACTATTGGTAAACCTAGAACCTTCCATCTTATTAACATATGCCTGAACCTTCCACTGCATTAACATATACCTGTTGATGACATTCTAAGACATTCTTTAAGAAATAAACTCTAAAATATGAAATAACTTAGTTGAAGACTTCTTTGAGCTTCCACAAATAGCAAAACCAAACAACTTCAGTTCTGTCTAGAGTTTCTTGGGAAATATGTTGTTTTGCATTTCGTGACAATTGAGGAAAAAATATGCCTGTACCTGAGAAAAAGTCATTAATTCAGGTGTCACTTATGCAAAAACTTTAATGAATTTTAGCTGCATATTACATTTTAAAAAAATCAGCTGAGTTCTACTAACACACTGTTTTAAGAAAACTTCCTTTTTGTTTTCCTGTTGCAAGTTCTTAAAAGTCTGTTTCTCTACTCTAAAAGCTTGTCATTCTGAGACAGACTGTATTATTCATATGCTTAGTGAAGCATTCCTGGCATGTGTTAACAACTTAGTCCGTTGCTGTGGCACGTGAGTAGTATTTCCCTTTGCCATTCCTCCTGGAAACTATTCTTACTTGTGGTTGTAGTGGACAGTAGAGCTGCAGTGCTGTCGAGCAGCAATAGGCATAGATTTTCTTTTGACAAGGGCTCTTTATAGTTCTGTTGGTGTGGAATGTGTTCTGTCAGCCTCCCTTCCCCTTCATAGTAAGGATTTGGGTCTGGAAGCGTATTTTCTGGTGATGACCATGGCCAAATCTGAATAATCATCTGGCCAAGGGAAACTTAGCTCTTTTGTGCTTTGATTTTGTGCTTTAAACATATTGTCATGGAGAAAAAACTGTGAAGATGATTGAAGTCCCAGCAGGGAAAATTACTGCTTAAGATTCAGTGTGGAATGAATAGGAAGATGCAATGACATAAGAAGTAACTGAAAGGATATAATTATGAGGAGACCTTTTTATTGTTTTTAACAGATCTTGATGCAGGAAAATGAAAGGAACCTAAATTAATATTGTTATTCAAAAGTATGTCTCATCACTCCTTTTGGTTTACTGTGATGGCAATATATTTTTCTTTGACAAGAAAAAGTATCGAAATAATTTAATTATTCATAAAAGTGATTTTCACAAGTAATGTACCTGCCAATTTGTTCTCTTGATAATATATAACAAGCATTTTGCTGCTTTACTTGATGTTACATTTTGGGGTTTTTTTATTTAACTTTTGCTAAGGACACTTATAAATGTTTGTATTACTTCCAGTGTTTTGAAAGAGCTGTTGAATTTACATGTTAATCAGGTCTGTCAATAGAAAGTTATTTGAAGGACATCCGATCAAAGGGAGAGAAAACAGTCATATATTACACCAAATAGTTTGTATTTTGTTGTTCTGACAGAGACAGGCACTGAAAAATCAAACATGATTTCATATATGTAAACTACTGAGTTTCACATCCACTTATAAATTTGTATATTGCTTTTGATAAACAGTCAACCAGCTATCAGTATTTTTTTTTCTCAGTAACTAGTAGCATACTGCATCTTTTCGTCTGTGAAATACAAGAAGTTCTGCTTCCTGGGCCAAGCTCTCTGCCATTAACACTGACCTGCTAATACTAACCTGAGTTAGAGAGCAGCTTTTGATATTCTTAAATATTGCACCACTCACTTTGAATTGGAATGAATGGTTAAGCTAGTATGGAAAATAATTTATCTAGAGTTAATGACATTATATTACTTTAACTAGTAAAGTTGGCACTTTTGGTGATAATTTTTTCCATTTATGAAGCAAATCTGCTAGCTAATTGGCACCTATTATGTTAATCATAACAGAGAAGTTCATATGCATTCAAATGTCTTTTATTTTCGTAAGATGAACTTACTAATTACTAACAACTGTTCTTAAGGGTCGGTTCAAACTAGTGCGTTAGCAATGAGATGCACTACTTGGAGAATATGGTAAAATTAAAAATCTAAATAAAAGTTGATATACACAGTAGAAATTACATAATGTGGGTCTTTTCAGCTGAGGATGCATTTACCTCTTGGCTTTGTTTTTCAGGTAGCTGAAATGCATGGGGAACTGATTGAATTCAATGAGAGGCTGCACCGTGCTCTGATGGCTAAAGAAGCTCTTGTGTCCCAAATGAGACAAGAACTAATTGATTTGAGAGGGCCAGTAAGTGTTTGTTTATTGCAATGTAGAATACCCCTCTGGAATAAGCTTAAACCCATTCCTTGTGATGAGTGAGCTTATATGAAATAACGCCTAGTAACACGTCTGTCAAGAACACCTTACTTCGTATTTTTGATAGTGTTTGGTTCTCCTTAGCAGATTTGAACGTAAAATAGGTATATTCAGACAGTAAAATTGCAAGAAAAGGTTGGGTTAAAGTTCGAAAATGAACAGGGCGAAAAGAGGAGTCAAGAGTGTTCCTAATAGTTGTCCATCTTCTGAGGAAGGCGTATTTTGATAGTTTTTGTTCATATGATGATGTGGTATTGCTCCTTTTGTTAGCACTGGAAGCATTCATGCCTGTTTTATCATAACATTTATGTAAAGGGGCAATACAATAAACAATAATATATGTTTAAGTTTCTCAGGCAGCAAATGTTCAGAGTGTGACTTTTTGGAGATACACTGAACCACTATTTAATGTAGAAGCTGTCTCCAGAAGTTCGTCAAAACACGCTAACTGTTCTGGGTTATTTCACGATGTCCAGTGACAGGGCAAGGAGCAATGGATGCAAGCTGGAGCGCAGGAGGTTCCACAAAAATATTAGAAAAAACTTTTTCACTGTGAGGATAACAGAGCCCTGTCACAGGCTGCCCAGGGGGATTGTGGAGCCTCCTTCTCTGGAGACATTCAAAACCCATCTAGACGTGTTCCTGTGTGACCAACTCTGGGTGATCCTGCTCTGGCAGGGGGGTTCGACTGGATGATCTTTTGAGGTCCCTTCCAGCACCTGACATTCTGTGATTCTGTGATTTAAATGAGAGAAGGTATCCTTTTATATTTAATTAATGCTGAAGTAAGGTAAGAAACTATTGTTATAGAATCACAGAATTGTTTCAGTTGGAAATACCATCAAGATCATTGAGTCCCGCTGTTAACCCAGCATGGGCAGGTCCACCACTAACCCATGTCCCTGAGTGCCCCTTCTACACGTCTTTTAAATACCTCCAGGGATGGTGGCTCCACTGCTTCCCTGGGCAGCCTGTTCCAGTGTTTGTCAATCCTTTTGATGAAGAATAACCCTTTCATTCACAAAATTTTCAGTCTATTTCAAACTTGCTTTCTCACAACTGCTACTTCTTTCGATTCTGCGGGTATTAGGCCATCCTTACCCTCTGTGTAAAAACACAGCTAAAATTAAATGATCACGTCTCTTTCTTTTAATGGAACGTTGGTTGTCGAAGTAAGTGATGACTAGGTTTTCTGTGCTTCATCTCTTCCCATAACTTGTTTACACAATGTACTTTAGTTTAGCATATTTTTCTTATAAAAGCCTAATAATGATACTTTTCCTGAATTTTCTATACCTTTTGAAATGACATGCTTTTACAAAGCCCAGTTTCTTTTGGATTATTGTTCTTTACAAAGCTGTAGCAAATTCTACCATGAAGAACTCGCAAAGGGGATATGTTCATAATCCATTGCACAATTGTTTATTTTTCTTCTATTGTTTCTCAGTAATTTTTTTTTTTATTTGCATTAAAAAAATTGAATGTTGAATTATACTTTCCTTATAATATTATACTTTCTTATTAGAAAGCATAATAACCAGTGTGTGGGAATTTTTTCTGTTATGTAAATATAGGTCCCTGGAGATTTGAGTCAAACATCTGAAGATCAGAGTTTGTCAGATTTTGAAATGTAAGTTCCATACACAATTTTTTTTGCTCTTAATACTGTCTTTAAGGGAAGGAAGAATAAGCAGATTCAGTAATTTGCTTTTCTTACATTGCTTCCAAAAACTGAATTCTCAGCTGTCGCGTTCCATTGTTGAAAAGTGTGGAGAGCTGCACAGTCCGTACTCTGGTGTAGTTTTTAATAATATTGAATGCAAGGAGTTAAGTTTTGTGAAGATTCTCTTGCAGTGCTCTACAGTACATTAGGTCTTGGTATTCTAAACAAAGCACCAAAAAACTACTGCTTTCTGTTGCTTTGGGTTTGATAGGTGCTAGATGCTATTCATAATGTCACAGACTCTCTCTTTTTTCCAGAATAACTCCTAATCAGCGCCTCCAAATAGTCCTGCAAAAAGCCCTGCAAATAACCTGATCAGTCATTCCAGATCATTCTAGAATGTTGTGATTTGCAGTTTTGCTTTACTAGTCAGACTAATGAATCTGACTTTTTGTGGATGAGCGGGTGGAAATGTAACTGATGTCTTTGAATCATAGAAATTTGGAAATTAATTGCAAAGGGCAGATGAAAATAACTTGTGCATAACTTTGCAGTGCACTTCTGTTAATTAATAAATCCGATTTTTGCTGAGTTTTGTTGAGTTAGTTTGAAATGAATAGTTTTTGTTTCATATGTATAATTAAACGTTGTCAAATGTGTGGTGCAAGAAACCAACCCAAACACATAAAGCTTGCTTCAGTGCACTTCTTCAGTTATGTATCCAACACGTGGATACAGCAGGTATAAAAGCTTCAGGCAGAAGTACAATTTTTCTGATACTCCATTTGAAATGATAAAATGCTTTGTTGATCACTTTGATCATTATCTAAATCACTGGAGGTAGTTGCTTCGCAATTCTTACACGTGAATATGATTCCCTATATTAAGCTCTTTCTCTCCCCTCCTTAGATCAAATCGTGCTCTTATTAATGTTTGGATTCCCTCAGTCTTTCTGCGTGGAAAAGCTGCTAATGCATTCCATGTTTATCAGGTAAGTGATACATCTTAACACAGATTCAGTGTAAAAGTTCTGACTGAATGGTACATTTTAACAATTTAAAGATCTCAGTGTAAGTTCGTTAGAAATCAGCTGATGAACAGCAGGAGCAATTTGTAATCTATAGGAATGTGTTGATTATCCAAATAGCATATTTTGTGGGTTGGCTTTTAATAGTTTAATACTTTAAAAGCAGGCTGATAAGGTGACTGCATTGGCCTGTGAGGACAACAATTGAATGTTTATGGGTAATGCCTTCCTCAGTATGCACGTGCATATTCTATTTCAGTTTGGGGGATAACAAGGACAGATGTGAGTTGCTGTAGTAGGTTGTTCAAACAGGAGTGGTGCAGCTGTCCTTCGCCAGGTGTTGTTGGGCATGTTCATAGTGTGTTCTGCTTCAGCGGGGTCTGAATTTAGGGGTTTGTACTGCCTTGTAGTGAAGCATTGAAATCCTATGCCGTTCCTTCATTCCTGGATTCTTGGTTTCAGAACAATTGGAATGGCAAGGCCAACTTGAAACACTTTAAGATGCTGTCCCAGGCTGGCTGTATTTCCTTATTTGTAGATTATTAGTAGCTGCAAAATTTTTCCAGTCTTATTTCAGCCTGAACACGATTTCTGAAGCTTTTTTGCATTCCTCTCACTCTGAATGATGATTTCTCAAGAATTTTGAATAATTTATGAAGTGTTGGCAGATAGTTGAAAAATGCAGAAAAACACTCACCTCTCAGCCAGTAAAAGACAATGAAAAATAAGACTTTAGCTAATAGAGAGAAAAGATGTCAATACTGAACAGTTAGTAATTTGTTCAAAAGCATTAAATAATCAATCAAATTCAGGTGCACAAGTGTTTGTGGAAACCTAACTTGTTGATAACTGTGATTCTTTTTTGTCTTTCTGGCTCTTGCATACATATTCATTCCCCCACGCTGCTGTCACTGGCTGCACATTGCAAACACAGCTGCTAACATAGGAGTTCTTAAGCATCAGTAGCCCACCCACCACATCTCTGTTACTCTAATGATGTCACAGTTCTGTGACCCACTAGAGGAGCTGTGGTTTCTCCTGCTTGCTTCCGAGGTTCCTCCATTTTATTCTTCATCCTGCTTTGTTATTTCTTAGGTTTTTCTTGTTCCTGTCACCATGTACCATTTGCTTTCCACCCCATCCCCCATTTCCTCACCAGGTGGATCAGCCTGTTAGCAAAGATGATCCTGTCCCACTCTGTTAGGTAGATTTCACCTCTCCCAACACCTCTTGATCCTTAGAGACTGTCCCATGGTCACAAAAGCCAAATCTGTCGGTGGCATCTGCTGTACAACCAGATATTGATCCACAGGACCCACCTGGTCCTACGCAAGCCTGGTGCAATGTAGAAGACCAGCTGGGCCCCTATGCACTTCATCCTTGTCTCCAGTGCCATTTTCTTGCCCATGATTTTTAGTAGTCTTCTCTGGAATTAATGTTACTGCCTGTCTGGATGAGCAGCAAAGAGTAACATTAAGGGGTACCTGTTTTAAAAATTCAGTCTTTCATCAAGCATTTTTGTATCTGGACTGTTGATCAAGCTGAACTTGGAATGTGCTTTTCTATCTTGCTTTTATTTATCATTGGCATGGCATTTTAGAAAAATATGTTGTGCCGATACGGTGTGGGTTTTATTAGGCTTCATCCATTACTCATCATCAGTGGAAAACAAAGAACTTGTGACTGAAGCCTAAGCCTCTTGAAAAGAGGAAGAATGGAAGCAAAATATCATTGCAAGATTCTAAAATACTGAAAATTCTACATGTACAAAAAGACAATTTTGAGAATTTTGTTCTTTATGTCTACAATATATGCTTGAAATGTTGTGCACTCATAGTGTACAGAATTCTGTTTATTGATATATGTATTCTGTTTATTGGTATGTGTATTCTGATTATGCTCTATTCGTTATCTATTCCCACTAGTAGTTTGCAGGACATGTGATGTGGAAAGTTAGAAGCTCTATGTGGAATAGATACAGGATGTCTGTGGTCAGACTAGTCTGTCTTTAATTACAGAACAGCACAGAATACCACAGAATTTCTCCGGTGAACAGTTGTGTATTTACTCAACTTTCTTTTTAATGCATAAAAAATACTGAGCAGGAATTACCTTTAGAAGTGGCCTAAAACTTCTATAATTCTTGTTTAAATATTTAACTTTGATCTTGGTACCTGTTGAGATATTTTCTTATGGAAAAATACATTAGGATATAGGCATCCCTACCAGTATTTTATCTCCATAACAGGAGTATAACTGGGAAGATTATGTGTCTAGCAAATAATTTTGTTTTCTGCCACTGTGCACGTGAAAAGAAGGAAATTTCCCTGACCAGACATATACGCTGTACCACAGCACTGTGATGGAACACTCAAAGTGATTGCACATCCTTGACCAAATATGTAGTCATGTGCTTGCTGAATATATATTCTTCATTTTATAGCTACAGGGAAAGCATTAATTTATAAAACTTCAGAATAGCCTCAATAACAGCACTGTGCATTTATCTTGTTAAATCTCTGCCAAAACATGTGCTTCTGATTACAGGGAGTTGTACTGGGTGTTGAAATAGTGGAAAAGGATATTTACCAGGCTACCGGTATGTAATGAACAGTCAAGGACTGGGAGTGACAATTAGAATAAATGACAGTTCATTTCTGAGAGACCTCTAATTCATAATAAACTTTATTTTTGCTGCTTTATCTTTTATTTCTCCAAAGAAAATTAAAATGCATGTATAACTCTTTGTATCAGCTACAGAAGAAATTGCTTGTAGTGTATCAATATAAAGGAAAGTAGGAGTATTGCAGAATGTTGATATTATTGAGATCATTACTAATGTCTTTTGGAGTTCAGATTTCTCTGTGAGTACTTGTGTAGCCATAACTTGAGATGTAAAAATTGACTCTGGGTTGTGCTGTATAATGTATAATCTACTTGGAAATCAGCCTTAAGATGCTTGGTCTGCCTGAAAGTTAGATGGTGTGTGTAGTGTTGTTAAGATAAGATGTTGCTGCCAAATGAAGGTGTTACAAAAGGGCACGGATCTTGACGACTGCTTTTCCAAAGGTAGTTTGTGTAGATGTATTTCTAACATAGCTTGACTTCCTCTGCATTTTCTGTTATTAGAAAGCTAAAGAAATTGTCCTTCTTTTCCCTCCTGTTATGAGCCACCTTGTTAACTTTTCTGACTCGAAGTTTTGTATCTCTGAAGCATTTCACTTGATGGAGAGAGGAATCGAGCTGCTTAAACCAGGAAAAAGAATGAATGGCATGTTAACTTGCCTGCCAGGAGGGCCTGACCCAGACAGGATAGGAATATATTCCATCGGGAGTCTTGTTCTAGTGATTGCATATTTATTTAGTTATTTAATTTTATTTAATGCAGGTTTGTAATGCTGTTTTGAAGGGAATTTCAAAGCACTTATTTTTGTGTGATGTTAATATTTTGGTATGTTTCAGATGTCATGTTCAAAACAGTAAATCTTCCATCCTTAAAAAAAACAGATACCAAGCTTCAGTGAGTACAGAAGGAAAAGTTTCCAGTTCCAGCATACGTGTCATGTAGTTTCAGCCATCAAATAGTTTCTTTAATTTCTGTTAAGGATTAAGGATTCTAGGCAAGCTCATAAATAAGGTTGTGGACTCTGAAAGCAAGCGACGTTTTATAATGAATCCTATTAGATGTGGAAATTTTAATCAGACCTCTGTATTTGAGGAGTTACACTGCGCTCTTGCACTAATGTTTAACTGGCACAATTCAGTGGTTATGAATCTTAAGAATTTAAAAACATGGTCTGGAAACATCGTCAAATTTTATGCTCAGTTTCAGTGACTGAATTCAAGGGAACAGTTGTGAGCAGCAGGTGAATCAGCACTCACAGTTTAGCGCTATCTATTACTGCCTTAAAAATTAACAGAGCCACAGACTTGGATCGTTCAACTCTGGATGTTACTATTAGATGGTGTATAAATTGAGCGAAAAAGCTATTTAGAATTGGATGTGCACTTAAGGGCAGTTATTACGCTCGTTTAATATTTTTTCACTTGATCTCTGCAATTTCACCATTTCACAATAATTGACAAACTCTGGATGACTATGGTTGATAATCGGGGACCACGATAAATAAAGACAAAAAATAAATGTGATACGAGGCTTTTAAAAGTAAGTAGTCATTGAGGGCTTTGTTTTCTCTTGCGCTGTGAGTAGTTGTCTGAGGACCAAAATCCCTACTGAGAAGAGGTAATGGTAGGTGCTGGGGTGTTCAATTTCGTCATTCCCCAGGTTATTATTATCGATTCCCTAGGAATAATAAAGGGTTTGGATTCATCAGGATTTAGATACCTTTCTGGAATAAAGAGAGTTTTCAGAGGAGGGATTAAATGCAAGACTCAGTTACTGGCACTTGAAGATGATAAGATACGTAAACTGAAAAATACAGAAAGGTTTCCATGTAAAAAAGAGCAAGTGTTTGGGATGGGAAGAAGAAATTAAGAAAAAAAATCTTTAATTCAAGCTGTTGTAAAAGGAACAAAAAAGGCAGAAATTCACAACTGTAATTTTTAACTAGAAAAAAGAGAATGACAAAAAAAAAAAAGAGGAAGCTGGTTGAAAAAAAAAACCTAAAAGGGAGAGTTAAAAGGGTTTGCAGGCATAATGGAGTGTATTCCAAAACTTGAGTATGGCTGAGAGGAAATGCTTAACCTATTTAAGAAAAAAAAAGTGAGAAAACAGGAGAAGGATGTCTAAGCACCAGAACGAGGAAAATTATTAGAAGTAAATAAAGAAATCAAATTAATTCATCTCCAAAGAAGAATAGAGGACTGTACACATTCTGCAGGACACAAGTAGAAATACAGCGTTACAGGCCTCTTACAACTTCCAAAAGGCATAAAATCTAATGGTCTATTTTGCACGTGTCAGGAAGAGACCACTTGCTAAAGTCAATGGGGCAGATGCTCAG